GAAGCTTCTCTTTTCTTCTAATTTTTTTCAAATATTTTACAGCAGTCTGACAACATTCTTCTTTTCTTTCTTTTTGTATTTTAGCCATTTATCTTCTGCATAGAAGCTCTTACATTAATTCTATGCTGTCATTATTGTTCTGACAGAATACAGAATAGAATTTTTTAAAAAACTTGTGAAAATAGAAGCTTTTTCCTGATGTAAATTAAGGACTTTGAGGCTCTAAATCAGTATTCAAAACTAGGGATAGAACACAACACATTAAAAGAATTTCTGAGAATAAAAATTACCTTTTCCACGTGTTAGAAATTGAAAGATTCTCTCTTCGGGCCTTCCAGCAACATCTTCAGCATGGGCAGTCAGACCTTCCTTCACTGCCTGAAACCCTTGCAAGACAACTGCAGGAGTGTTTGAAAGCCATAAGGTGAAGATATTGCCATGAATTTTGGCCATCTGTAGAACAAGGCAGAATTAGAGTAACAGGAGTGAGAACTGGTACTTTTAAATCAAACAAAATGAACCAGATCTTCTCCCTGGGCAGATGCCCTAAGAGTGACTGACTTTGAGAACAGAGCATCAGGTATATTCTCACATACAATATATTTAAGTCAGGTTTAAAGTCTTATTTATTAAAGATCATGATGTTTCTAAAATGTCACCCAATATTGCGAAAGTCTGTGATGTCATTTATTATGTCTTACAATTCAAACTCGTTGTAGATGAACTCTTCCATCCTCACCACTTGCTACAAGACAGCAGTAGCTCATGAATTTGATATGAGCCATCTACAGATTCCCCCATGTGTCAAGTGTAGCAAAAGCAGTCGAGGAGCTGAGTAATGCAGGAATCCCCCTTTCCCTTCCAGCACAGCTGTGACAGCCTTGTCTTCAGCTGCCATGCACGCAGGCATCCCTGCAGTGGGCAGGACAGTCCTTCTCCTGGTGCTGAATCAGGAACTAGAAAAGTAGCAGAATAGGCTGGAAAGAGTGGTGTGTTGCCAAGACATCCCAAGAAATGCAGGACCAGAGGATTACACAATTTTGCTGCCTGGGAGCAAACAAGAGGGAATACTTAAGCACAGTGAGCAAAAATATATGTGCTTGCACTTGCACATTTGTGTTTAATTTCATTTTTGTAAGGACCAGTTCATGGCTTTTGAAACCTTGGGATGACCAGTACTAGTCTTCGTGTCTGGGATGTCAGAAATAGAAGAAAACACAGCAGACAGGCACTAGCTACTATTTTATATTATGGAACAATAACATTTGCCTTGAAATATGCAGCTCAGGAGGACGGAGCTGGCAGGACATGAAAAACGAGGGAGAGGGAAGGCTGAGAATGAAGAGGACGAGTGAGGTGCTATTACTTACATATTTAAATGTTAAGTATTTAGTATAGGTGTATAAGAACTATAAAAGAATGGGATACAAACTTTAGAAGTGCTGCATATTACAATTGGAAAGGGTTTGAGCATACTATGAATTATTTTAGCCATTTAAAAGCTCAGTCTTGCAAAGCAGACTGAAATCTCTTGTGAAAACCTGACCAAATGGTATGTCATAAAATAATTGATTCTAAGATTTTTCAAAAAATCCATTGAATAAATATATATAAAAAAATCAACCTTTCTATACTGGAAACAAACATAACCTCAGCAGCTATTTCATGGGATACTTAGAAAATGCCAGTGCAACAACAGTCAAAATACAGACATCCAAAAGACTGCACAGAATTAGCGAGTCTACTTTAAAATACAGCTTCTTCCTATGTGTAAGACAGGACTATTATCATCATTATGGTTTTATATATACATATATGTGTATATATATATATGTATATATATATATATGTATATATATATATATATATATCTCGTAGTAAGTGCAAATTTTCACACAAAGAAATAGATATTTTAATTATCTCCACCTATTTCCACATTTATGCAATTTAGAAAAAATCCCTCCCTAGCATTCAAAACAAAACTATGTTAAACACAGTTACTTTTCAATCAGTTTATGAGTTCATTAATGCATTGCCAGACAATACATACTTTTTTAAGATGCTCATGATGAATTTTGAAGTTCATCTGCAGCAGATTTCCAAAGAAGGGAAATGGAGTTGGCCCAGGAGGAAAATGTCTTCGCATCCATTGCAATTTCAGAAACTCTACTAATAGCAGAGACAGCACAAAAAATACCAGCACCTCACTCACTGTTAACATTTTACTTCTGATTTACACAGCTGTGTTGTCTCTCTACAAGTGCTGTGTAGACAGAGGAGAGATCAGTTTATCTTGCTTTTTGGGTACCTCCCTGAAAAGAGAAAAAACACTTGATGCTCCTATGACTCATCTCTTTCCCTGTTTATCACTTTTACTTCCCCACCCCAGAGAATTAAGTGTTCTTATTTGTACTCGTATATAACATCACTATGTTGCAGCTACACATCTGTCAATCATTGCCTCTTCAAGGGACACAAAATGTAGGTTAATTATACACCTCCTTGTGCCATGACTCCTGCTGTGACAAAAATCTCTGCCCACGGTCCTGGTTTCATAAAAAACCTCTTGCAAGAATGAGAAATAAAAAAATTTCCTGAAGGCTGGCTGCACACCCAAGGGCAGTGGGTTACTGAAAAGTTCAGGCTCATCAGTAGCCATCATATGCACCAACCACGTGCTCTGCTACTTAACTCGCCTCACACTCTTGATTCTGATGTTCTCTGCTATTCCTTTAATATTTTTCCCCACAGCTTATATTGAAAGGTGTTTGGAGGGTGGCTCTACCTTTTAATTTTGTGCCTAGGACACACACAGACCATAAAAGACTCCAACAGGAGTTTGTTGCTAATAATGACATAATACCCAAGTGTCCTCCCACTCCCTGCCCAGCTGCACAGGGGAGTGGGGCTGCAGTCTCCTTGACCAAGCACAAAGCAAAATTTCTTCATCCCTCCACCTTCCTGTGGCTAATCCCTGTGGACTGCCTGCAGCAGGAACAAAAATGACATACAGCTGCCTCTGAGAACTTCTTTCACAAGTGCTCTTACACAACTGAGTAACTCCAGCTCAGCAAAGGGTGGCATTTGAACGGGATCAACACAGATTTGGCACTTGCACAGGAACAGCATTAGCTTAGACTTGGCTCTGACTCAGACAGCAGCATGTAACACTCTGGGAAATCACCTAGATGGCCCTGCTGCTCATGTACCAAACTTACAGAACTGGCACAGCTAGAAATAAAAGTTTTGAGGTGTGAAGGACATTGGTTTACTCCAGAAACAGGGCAGAAAAATAACATTTACCCATCTTGCTGGCCACCGATCTAACTGAGAGCTAGGATCAACCCGAAAAACTGAATTATCCATTTTGAGACCACTTTCGGGACTTTTAGTTCCTTCACTGGTGTGGCATTTTCTCTATCTCAAACTGCTCCCAACTCTGAGTTTAGTATTTTCCAAGGTGTTTCTGGGAGGAGACTCACAGCCCCAAGGCTTTCTTGCCCTGCCCACTTGCAGCCCCATCTAGCCCGTGCACAGTCCTGGCTGGCTGCTCTGCATCTCCGCTGACTCTCCAGGCTCACTCTGACTTTCCCACACACATTAGCCACATTCTGGGGACTGCACCTCTCAGCCTAGACATGACCTGCCTGCATGTAGGAAGGCAGCTGCCAAACAGCTTTGCCAAGTCTTTGGGAGAGATGTCAAGGGAATACAAATTGCTTGTCTCCTCACACAAGATGGTGCTGGAAGCCTGGGAAGAGAGAAGCCTGATAAGGTTTTGTAAGATGTATTTGCCACAGCTTCCATGAAGAGAATTGAATGCCCGGGGAAGCAGGGGTTAGAGCTGTCTGACAGCTCAGAAGAACAGAAAAGTATCCCTCTAACAAGTGAATCCTCCTCCTCTCACTCTTGCCAGGAGAGCTGCTGGCCCATTCTCTTCTGCCCCGTCCTTTCAGCCCATGACACAATGGATAAACAGGACAATGCCAACTAGTCCTTGAAGCGTGCTTGTGATAACAAAAATTGTAAAGTCTTTTATTCAAGAAAGGAAGCTGGTAGAGCAACAGTAACCCTCACTCTGACCTTGGGTTTTAAATCTTATTGGGTGGGTTACAAGGCCAGTCTCACAGTGAGAGTGGCTACTGACACTTGCCATCCACTAGCCCTGCTTGGGCACTGCTCCTGCCAGCTGCACCTTGCACAGCTCTTCCCTCAGTGTGCATTGGGATTCAGCAGGCTTAGCTCAGCTGTCAGAAGGCTGCTTGTGTGCAGCTGCCTCTCTGCTCACAGAAAACTCTCAAGAGCTTTGATTCTCCCACAGCTTTTGGGGAACACCACATCAATGTCTCCTGCCCTGCCCCTCCTTTGCAGCCAACAAGCTTTGCTACTGCAAAGACTACAAGCTGCCCCCTGAACTGCACTTTGGGCATCAATGAAGAGACATGGCCAACCTAATCTGCTGTACATCATTGTCATTACAAACATTGGCATGTGAGAGGACTACCACCTTCACAAAATGCATCTCAAATGCACAAGAGTATATGTCAAAAAAAAAAATATTTTTAGGCCAGCCCACTGGTCCTTATCTGTTTCCACCCACTGCATTCCACCAGCAGTGGGGCTTCCCTCTGCAATTTCCAGCAGGCAATAGGAGGGCTTTGCCTTTGCTCTTGGCCTGAGTCACAAGCCTCACAACCAAATGAAGAGTTGCACTGTTGTCTCTCTTTTACTCATCTGCCCATGGCCCTTGGCCAAATAGACCAAGCTGCTCCCAGCAAGTTGAGATGCCCCTCCACAGCTTTGAGTTTCCATGCAACCACACCTGGGGGCTCTGGCAATGCCCAGAGCCACCACCTATGGTAACAGCATTCCCACAGATCATTCTGGATTTGAGGATGTAGGGGAAGGCTGCTCAGAGCCTGGCTCTGATGCTCCTCCTCCCTCCAGGAAGATTCTGCTGAGTTTCTAGTAAGACTAGACAGAGCAATAATTGTCTACATTTATTTAATTTGTAACACAGCAGGAAAAAAAATGCAGCACAGACACTTTCCAGACACAGAAAAACCAGAGCATTTTTTAGGCCTGGCTTCTAAGACATATAACACAAGGAGAGATTTGTACTGAATTTGAGCTAAAAATGAGAACCATAAAGCTGCACAAATACCAGCACACTACCAAACCTGTGTCTGTGCTTCTTAAATCTCTAATGCTGAGCAACCTAGCGCAGAACTGCACAGAGTTTGTAGGGATGAGGTTTCATGGTGCTCCCAAAGACAAAGTCTGTGTTGATTTCCTTAACTCCTTCTGGTACAGTGAACTTGAATTTCTGCAACAGGCTGCAGAACATGATGAAAAGCTCCATCTTGGCCATTGTCTCTCCCGGACAAGCACGGTGACCTGCAAGGGGTGAATGGAAACAGAAGTCAGTCCTCACCAAGGTCTGCAACCAGCCCCTGTTTCCCAGCTTTTCTCAGGAGCATTGCTCATCAAGGAACAAAGAGCTTTGCTGAATCTGACAATTTCCTCTCAGATTGAACTGGACTTACAACTGACATGTCTGCAATTCATCTTTGAAGGATCTGCCCAGATTATGGAAAAGATACCAGAGATGCTTCTCAGAAGTTTCATTCTTGCTTCCTAATCTATAGGACTCCCTAGTTTTATGAAAGGGATTTCAGTCCTTTGATTCCAAATACGAACAAGAAAGCATATTTAGGTTCCTTCATGGCTTCTGCTTAGTACAGGCTGACTTATCTTCCCTAATAACAGTGAAAAATCAGAAGACAGAGGACACTCTACACCTGATGAAACATTCTCCTACATAATGGTGTCAGTGAAAACAACATGCTAAAGAAAAATCTCTTCCCAATTTATCAATTAACTCTGTCCAGGATATAATTCCCAGACACAGACAGTGACAAACTCTGAAATGCAGTGGTCAGGTCATTCAATTCGGAAGTGAGAAACCAATTCCTCTTCTGCCCAATTTACACCAGAAACCTGAGCCTGACATTTTCCCATCACAGCTGACAGCTCTGTCAACCAGGCTATTCCCTCCTGGCATGATCCCTGAGAGCTTTTGTTTGTTTAAGCTTCTATAAACTCACACACTGGTGGAAGAGTGATTCCAGAAACTCCACAGGAAAGACATAGACTTCTGGATGTATTTGATCCAGCTTCTGGATCTCCCATTCATCTCTCTGCACTGATGAATATTGAATTATTTATACAAAATAAATCAGCTCCAGCACAGCAGCCTGCCACAGAATATCCACTGTAATGGCATAGCCCAGCATATACAGAGGAGAACCAAGGCAGCAGTGTAAAGACTCAAGTTCCTAAGTGATTGGGAATCCTGGGACCTTACTCATCTTATCTTCTCTGCATTTTCACAAAAATCTAGGATCAAGTGTTTATACAATTGGCAAACAACTTATTTTTGCAATCAAGCATTTTTCTGGGCTGGGAAAACTATGTGCTCCTGCAGTTTGGGGTTACACTCCCCTCTGGCCTTCTCCACAATGAAAATAACACAGCTTCATCTAACCCACACACCTGGGCTCAGTTCTCAGTGCACTCACCTGCTGAGAAGGCCAAGAAGGCCTCTCGGGTCACAAAATTTCCACCCTTGTCCAAGAAATGGCCAGGGTTGAACTGGTGAGGTGTCTCCCAATAGTCAGGGTCAAAAAGAGCTGAGTCTACATTTGCCATGATTAGAGTGCCCTGAAAGGAAGAGGCAGTTGGCACAGTTCTGTCTCTCACACATAAAGAATAAAAGGACACAAACAGATTCCAGCTATAATTCTGCACACAGAAAGGCAGCAGAAATGAAAGATTACATAATTAGGGGAAAACCAATAATCTCAAGGGTTCTGAGGGTTTTTTGTCCAAAAATAAATAAGCAAAGAAACTTCAGTATTTTGGTTTCAGCGATTTCCCTGTATTCCTTCATGTCTTTTTTTTTCCCGTCTGTTAGCACATGCCATAGAATGTGTGGTCTGCAGTTCTTTAGTACCATATCTTAAATCTAATTAAATGATCTTCCTGTCCTCAGCTGGAGGGGAAAGGGTTTAATGGTAAACCTTTACTGGTGGCCAAAGATCACATTGGAATAGAAGGGATATCTGTACCTTTGGAACATGATACCCCAGAACAGTGGTATCCTTCACAGCTTCTCTGGGAATTGTGATTAAAACAATGCTGCTGAAGCGGAGGATCTCATGAACCACAGCATTTGTGTACGGCAGCTTCTTCCGATCCTCGTAGCAGATGAGATGGGAGGGACTCAGAACAGCATCCAGCTCTTTCTGGACTTTGTCTAAAAAAATTAAAACATCCATTATAGAAGTAAGAACACTGTTTTGGATGAAACAGCTTTCGTTTCCTTTTTGGAGTATAGTCGTGATAGAAAAAATTACAATATACAAATAATTTATACTTACCATATCCTGAAGTTTAAATGCATTTGTATAAATGTATAATTTATAGAAATCATAACCAGCTAGTTATGATTTTACTACACTCTGTTTTCTAGTTGATAGGTTTTATGTTCAGACCCTCTTTCCACAAGCCCAACAGATTTATGGAGCATTATATTTAAAGGAGGGGGAGAAAACTATAACAAGACCTTATTATGACATCAATACAATTAAGCTGAATTGTTGATTTTACTCCAGTTAAATACAGGAGTATTTAACTGGAGTAAAATAATTTTTGCAACACTAATGAGAGTGTTGCAAGCAAGCCACCACATCAAGCTGACACATGTGCAATGCTGAGAACTGAAATAGGATCATATTACTAAATATGATCTACCATCTACCATCACCAAGTATTAATCTCTTTGGGCTGCTATCTAAGCTTTACTAACACACCTTATACAGTCTCAGATGGGTTCAGATTTCATACTTAAAACTTAGGCTAAGAGGAATTTTTTTCTTTATAATTTATCAGAATTTGAAGTGCATGTGTGTGCACAAGGCTCTGTTCTGCAAGCATTCTAACACCACAAGCATGAAAAGAATTTCTAGCCCTCAGCCTGAGTCAAGAACATGTACTTGGCTTAGTAGTTCATCATCTCTGAAAACCCTCTACCAAATCACCCAAAAATTTTGAAACTAGTGCACAACTGTGATCTTGTCCAGAATTTCTGGATCATCTTTTTGTCTTCCTTCTCTATGTTTAACATTCCCATGCATTAGAATAAATATCTATTTTACAGAAATTTGACTGATGTCTCAGTTAATGAACTCAAATAATATAACCTTATTACACATGCTGGATGCCAGAAAAGCTTCACTTTGCCCTAACCCAAACTCTTATTCCACCTTGTGTGTTTTCAGCCTGTATCTTCCATTATATGCTTACAGTGCTGAAAGAGTCCTACAAAAATCAATAGGACCCAATACAGTATCAGAGCCTGAACATCCCTGAAATTATTTTAAAATCTCTGTCTGAAAAAATTTTACTACATTGGCTTATTAAAAGCAAAGCTAAACAATTATCTTTAAAGTAAGCTTGATCTTAAAAAAACCTTGATCTTAGCCAAAAAAAAAAATGCTCTACTTTAATCATATCCATGCTTGTTGTGTGCTACTCACCTTGGATGTCAGGGTAAACCAACATATAGAGCAGAGCCCAGCGCAGAGTGGTGGCTGTGGTCTCTGAGCCACCCAGAAAAAGGTCAAAAACAGACTGCACCATGTTGTCTTCATCAAACGTAGAACTGGGGACATTTTTAGTCTACAAGTGTCAGTGAGAAAGGTAAAATGGAGTATAGCTGTGCAACAACACTGAGACAGACAATTATCGCTGTATCTAAAGGAACAAGATTTCTAGAGGACAAACACAGATACTTGAGCAGAACACAGATATAGGCAAAGACTTTACTCAAATGAGTACAGAGATACTTTTAAATTACAGGTGCTGTTGAATGTGTCAGGTGTCTAAGTCCTGTTATGCTACCTTGTAAAGTAGCATGTTGATTTCTGTTAACTTCCACAGCAGAAAAACACATTTCTAGGTAGTTTTATCCCAGACATACCACTTCCAGCACATTTGCTGATTTCAGGAATCTTTCTAATATATAATGTTATCCTTTTAAAGATTTGTGCTTTTTTTCAGAGCAGAGACTGACAACATTTGAAGATTGTCATGATACTCATACAGCACTACTAAGCACAAAAATAATGCAAAGCAAGAATCAGAATTCGGCAGCCATCTAAATATCTGCACCTTTTCACCGTCCTCCCTACTGCCTAGCCCTCACTAAGGATTCCAAAATATGATAACAAACCAATGTAAATAATTTGTACTTCTAGAAGAAGTTCTTGAACTAACTATTCAAAGTTCATATTTTGAGTTTGACAGCAGAGTTTTTAAGCTGTTCTTGCAGAGCTCTGCAGTAATGTTGTTGTGGGTAGACAAGAGCGGGGAACCCATTATGGTTGGATCTGTATCATGTACAGCATTAATCACTCACTTTCTCTAACTGCTTCAGGTAAAAGTCAATGAAATCTTCTGGTTCATCTATTCTGCCTGTTTCCCTGTGGCTTTTGATTTCCTGCCTCACAAAGGAACAAACAAAATCCCGGGAAAATCTTGCTTTCTGTAGAGGTCCTAGGAGGTGCTCTGCAAACCACGGGAACATTTCACATATCTGGGGAGCAAGAATTCAGTACAGAAGCAGTTAGTGACACTGTAGAGAAGCCTCATGCTAGAGAGAGAGCATGGACATTTGTGGTGCTAAACTGCTGAATTAATTTCTCTGAGAAAAATCCTGTGGCATGAAAAAAATGTTTAGTACATAAACACACATTAAAATCACCAATTAGGGACAGCACAGTTTCCACCCTAGATTTTTTCCCATCCTAGATTTTTTCCCATCCTTACTAGATAACTCCATTTTTATTTGCCCTGCTAATTCACCAACAAAATAATCTACTTTTGCAGATAGATATATCAATATTAATAAGTCCATTGTTAATAAATATTTATGCCCATCACCTTAGCACTGGAAAAAAAAAAAAACACACAAAAAAACCCCAAACCAACATTCTCTTTCATTCTTAGACAGAGTATCATCTTTTCACCTTAACAATACTGGTATTTCCATTACAGAAAAGGTCATTATCCCAAGCATATTACCTTTGCTAAGACATTCTACTAAAGATTATTAATACAATATTCATAATTGAATCATGTCAAACCCAAAGCACTGCAGGTCCAGTTCATATTCACAGTCAGAGTATTTATCAGTATTCAATAATGCAGTACTTTAACAATATACATACTGATTTAATTATATTGCAATAAATAATGAGTCAAATGATCAAATAAGTTGCATGTTAGTAATATTCTAATAAGTAATACTCTTACATAATAAAAGTGGCTGTTCCCAAAAGCCACTATACAATCGAAGGCTTCAATCAGCTGGTGGAAGGTTTTATCCTCCAGAGAGAAACGATGTCCAAAAACCACAGCACAAATCACATTGGAGACAGCATGGACAATGGGGAAGGAAGGGTCCACAGCTTCTCCTGCAGACAGGGAAAAACATTCATCTCAAAAGCACTTCCTCTTCCTTTGCTATTTGGGAGAACAAGGTTACAATGACATTTTGTAATAGATGTCCTCTATGATATTTATACTGTTACTCAGAAACACCCAAAACTCACTAGGAAATGTAACAAAAGATAAACCTCACTCCAAAATGAAGACAGGAAAGCCTCAAATCTTTAATTCTTGGTCTTGTTTTTTTTTAATTTGCTTTCCTTTGTGCTTTCTTTTTTAATCTTAATCTTGGGTGTTGATCCCAAAATACAAAATGCTGAGGTCCAATGATCTCAAGGGTTCTGAGGGGTTTTTTGTCAAAAAAATAAATAAGCAAAGAAATCTCCATATTTTAGAAATTTCAGAGGTTTCCCTGCTGTATTCCTTCATGTTTCTTTTTCCAGTCTGTTAGCAAATGCCACGGAATGTGTGGTCTGCAGTTTTTTAGCAACTTATCCTAAATCTGCAAATCTAAGGTGTGCTCCAAGTCCATTCCATTCAGTAACAAAAGCAGTGTTAACCCTTAGAGTCAAGCAGTCTGTACTGTGTGTGCCCCCAAGCACTGTGTCAATGCCATACCCTCCTTGTCTCTGAAGAACTCCACCAGGTAACGGGCCTCGGTTTGTATCCCACGCTCCATTCCTTTATTCCCCATTCCCAGTTTTCGGAGAGTTCCAAATCCAAAATGTCTCTGTTGTTTCCAGATGAGACCATTTGAGACCAAGATACCTTTAGCCATCAAGAATGAATTTTATGTCATAATAAAGTTCATACAATTGTAGATGATAAACACAGTAAGAGTCATCTTCTCATCATGCTGTCGCTCAGAGAGGAGGGACACATCAGGGCAGTGTTCTTTGAATTGAATGTTGTTAGAGGCAGAGAAAACACCTTGGATAAGACATTACCATCGCTGCAGAAATAACCCACTTGGACCTCTGGACTCACACACCTGCCTTCCAAGCCTAGTCCTATTTTTTTCTGAAGCATCTGTCTCAGGTCTTTGAGGGATCCTGTTCTACCAGGATCTTTATACCAAATATCAAGTTCTCATCCTGGAAAGGTCCCTTCTGGAAAGACAATGAAGCCAGGGTAAGAACCACCCAGCTAAAATGAGAAGGAAAAATAGGCTTTAGACAATCTGCAAACAGCTCCTTAAGATCAAGAGTTCCTGTGGTACAGAAAGGAATCCCAGGCTGCTCTGCTATGAGTCTGTGTTCTAGCAGAGACCACCCAGCATGAACCATTTAATCTGCTTGGTGGGGAAATTCCCTCCACAAGTCTAGCCTACACCTCCCCCTGGGAAAGCCAGCTTACTCCCTGAGACAGCTGCTTCACTACAGACAGGAATAACTCTCACCTATTCCTTCTGCTGTCCTGGGAACCAGGGACAGGCAGGTTGTATTTGTGATGCAGTCACGAACTTGCAGCTGAGCTGCAGCTGTTGGTTAAAGCTATCCCTGCTACAAATTGCAAGTTTTAAGGCACACATCACAACCCAGCTACTTTTCTCCACAGCACCCTGATAAAAAGTGGCAATACAGATCCTTCCAAATGGATTGAAATGGCCCCAGACTTAACCATCTCTATACCTTAAAGTGGTTTTTCTCTACTTACATTAGCTAGTATTACAAATTAAAGCTTTCCAGACAGTAGCTCACATTAAACAAATCCTGACTGAGGGTAAAGGCATCTGCTGTACATTCTCTGGATAAGAGGCTGATGGAAACAAGTTCAATTATTTCTGTTTTAAACATATCAGTATCTTTATTTTCTCTCCAGTGTGATTCAGCAGTGTTTGTGATAACACAATACAACACTTTGAACACTCTGGTTAATAAATTTAAAGCTCCACTGACCTTCCTGTGACTTTGTACTTCGGAGCAAGACTAGATCAAAGTTCTGTATATGCTTTTCTTACAGCAGCCTTTGCTGTAAACAAACAACTGGGAGCATAAAGATTTACTTTAGTCTCAGCTTGCAAAGGAGGCTGCAGGCTCAGGATTATTTGAAATCAGGGCACACAGACAACACTAAGAATGTTGCCCATGCTGCTCTGATAAGATTCTGAAATACATGTGTGACAGTGGGATTTGGAGACCACTTAGGATGATGCTTCAGAATTATATGATTCACCTTGAGCAGACAGAAAAAGTCAGTTGGGAACTAAGGGTTTTTCAGTAAGAAAAACACAAGAGGAAATAAAGAAAGTCAAGGGTGAAGTCCTTTCAGAGAGGTGAACATCTTACCCTTTCCATCTGCCAGTTTGTTGAAAACGTAGGTCTGCAGTCGCCCTGAAACATCCTCCGAGTTGTTGGTGAGACCATTCTTCACAGCTTGGAACCCATAGAGCACCATCATAGGTCTGTGACCCAACCACAGGGTGCAGATGTTGCCATAGGTTTTTGCCAGCTGCAGGTAAAATCAGTGCCCAAAAAAACCCCATGGGAGAAACATCAAAGAACATGCACACACGATGGGCTGCTGTCTTCAGCACAATGTTGCTCAGGGGTTCAGCAGGTGAAAAGGGACAGTGGCTGTGTTTTGTGGTGGGGGTTCTTTCCCAGAAAGGGTCTGGGCTCTCTCTGGGAACACAACACCCACAGAAATGTAAGCAATGAAAGAATAAATGGTCCTTTTCTAGAACTTGGCCTGGGTTATCTTTGTAATAACAACCATAGGCTAAATGCCCTTGAGTGTTTATGGATCTGTACAAGGTTTCCTATGAAACTCCACCTGCCCATTCTTGGTTACATTTTTCAACTCCATATTTCATTGGCTCAGACAACAACCAGAATTTCTTGAAATGATGAATTCTAGATGTAACTCCCCTTCTAGAGTTCTAAGAACTGCAGATTTCACGTTTCAATGGCAAGAACTCTTCCCATCTTGTACTGAAATACTGTCAGCTGAGGCATCTAAGCATAGATCCCATGTCTGGGTACTGATGGGACTGCTCTCAGGCAATGCTGTGGGTATTCTGCAAGGACAAAGTCCTTGACGCTAGACCAAGAACCAGTACAGATCTGTCCTCTCACAGTCATTAACATGTACCCATCAGAAAATTTTAGCATCATGCTCATTAAGCTCCCTTCAGCTGCAGCCAGCCACCCTCTGACCTGCAAGTTGCACTTAGCACATAAGGAAAGGCAGCAATTTTAAAAAATACATTAACACATTGGGTTCTCTTGTGATATTTTGGCTCAGTGGAGGATGTTGAAAACTGAAAGAATCTATATTAGCAGGCTTAGCATGGAGCTCATTCTTCCCATTAATTATTTCCTTTCACCATTATTTCCATCTTTAGTTTATCTGCAAAGAGTACATCCCAGACTGGACTTCAGAGAAACAACAGATGAAAGGATTTGGCTGCATATGGGATACAATCTTGCTTCCATACCATGAGAGCAGAAGATATTCTGGTTCAAGACACCTCTGAATTTAAGACACCTAGTTTAAAATTATTTTCAATATATGCCTATAATGGGAAATCTGAGAATAATTTTTTTTTCTTTCAAGGCCAAATAAATAGAAGTATTTTCTGCAGCAAAATTACTATGTTCAGTTCTGTTTAAGTTGCACACATATAAGAATGAGACTTTCATATGAAATTATTAGGCTTTCATATGAATTAAACTATCTGCAGGATTTTTGCCTTAACTTGTTTAGGTACTTCACTTCCACAAATCACCTTCTCTCAGGGTTCTCCCTGTTACCACATCAGCCTATCAGCAACCATCACCATTTTTTTCCAGGTTTTGCCTCAATAGCTCTTTACTTCACATCTGATACATACCTTTTTCAGGCCCCGGTGATCAGCTCTAAAGTTTATCCACCAGAGGCTTCCAATGATGGGAAATGGGGTTGGTCCAGGAGGAAATCCACGACTCTTCCATTGCATATTCAGGAACTGTGCACTCAGAAGAAACAAAACCAGAGATATGAGAATTACACTTATCATCATTTCACACTTCCAAACTCGTATTATAAAATTGCTACAAATATGTCTGTTGAAATTGTTCTTCTGAACTCTTCCCTGTCACATTGAAGATTTCTGAATTTTCACCTCCCTTCTTTCCTACCACTCTTCCCAATCCAAGAAAATGAGGATTATTTCCATTCTTGAGTGTTATTTAATACATCACTATGCTGCAATATGCTAATTGATACTATTATTTTAAGATCCAGCAGAGGCTGGGTCAGAGAAGGTGGGAACCTCAGCCAGAAACATCCCTTTGAGCAATCAGTTTGAGGAACATGTCACTCAAAATACTGACTACATGCACGTCAAGAACTCGGGTACAAAGCTGCAGCTGTCAGATGAGGGCAGGAATACTCATCAGGTAGCCTTCTTGGGGCAGAGGTAAAAGGAAGCAACCAGTAGCCTTGTACAACAGTGGGTGGAGATGCAGACTTGGGAACCAAGAGCAATGAAGAGTTGCAATTTGAGTTTTCACAGTAAACAGTACAGATGAACTGCAAACAGCACAGTGAAGAATCAAACATAACTAGTGCTATTGGCAAAAAGTGTAACAGACCTCACATTAAACTCCATTTTGGGGCTGAGTTCTTGTCCCCTATGAGGCTTTATGAATTAGTTTCTGCCTTATCTCAGTAGCAGGACCCCTGCTCAGCAGAATTAATTCCAGAGCCTGTAATTCTTTGTTTTATTTTTCATCCACAGCACCTGAAGCAGCACATGCAAAGATCTCCTCAACACAAAAAAAAATCCCTACAAAGAGGAGCAGTTCTTAGAAGATTTCTAGAGTACAGCTAGTGGAATAGGCTGTATGGGATGTTGGTACCAAGCTGCCTTATGAAGAACAACAGACATTAAAAGGATGGGGCTGCGCAGTGCTCCCCTAAGGAGTGCCTTTAATTCCATCAGACAGGGTGAATCTAAACACCTGCAAAGGCTGCAGAAGACAAAGAACTCCATGTGTGCTGACTGCTTGCCCAAAAATATACATAGCCCTGCAGAAAGAACACAAGAAGGCAATTACTGATCTTAATTGCTGTTTTCACCACACCCCCACTGTCTTGCCTGTGCTTTCTCTGGGGCTGTTGCTCCTCTCACAGCAGAAATGTCCCTGCAGGCTGTCATTCTGTCTCAAGATTTGCTGTCTAAAAAAAACTTCAACTTATTCTCACAACTCCACTTGCATAATCCACTGGTGTCACTTAGCAGCTGGCAGAAAGGACATCAGGCATGTTTTGAAAGATCTTTTCACATTTCATTCAACTCATCTAAGTTCTTCAGTAGCATTCAAGGCACCTATGTCAACCACTGTTGACAAGGGCAAGAACACTACCCTGGAGAAAAAAATCCTTCCTTACACAGTAACTAATCTGGGTTGGATTCCAGAAATTTCTCCCAGTGCTCAGGAATCAGTTACAATATATATCAAATATATTTGCAATAACCATACTGTCCTCCAGGAAAGAAAGAGTTGGTCCTAGGCTGCCTCTAAACCTCTATCCCTGGCAAATTCATCTGAACAAATCTTAGCTCAAATTTTCTGTTCTGTCCACAGCTGACATTCCAAGTGCATTAGCATCTGGGCTAATAGATACTGCTCTGGAAAATTGTCAAAAAGAATGCTGAGGCTGCAAATACTCAAACATTAGGAAATGCCAGAAGGAAAACTGTCTGTGCAACATTAATTATTTCTTCCTGACACTTCAGTGAGAAAAGGGTATGTGCTATGGTTCATCTATGAAATTCTTGTCTCTGTTCAGCTCTTCTGCAGCTGACTGCAGAACACTGCCAAGATTACACAGCAATTCACAAACCAGGGAGACTGAAAGGGCACCAGGCCTTGGTAGCTCCCACACCACAGCACTGGTGCAAGGTCTGCATTGCTTTCACCTAAATAGCACTGCATTACAACACCAAAACAGGCAAAACTGACCAACCAAACAGCCCAAACAGAACAACCAATAATGAAAACAATGGGAAAACAAAAAGAGGAATTTTTGAAATTTCCTTTCCAATAGCTAGAGCTCATGCTTTTTCTAGTTCTGCTCTCACTGCATGCCAGTGATTCCAAAAAGTTGGTAAATGTCCCTAAGATTAGATATACCAACTGGTTTTATTTTGAGATGACTGGGATGACTCTGTATTACTAGCAGGAAGAGAAAGTGATGGATGCTACAATTCATTGTAATGCAGAGTGATAGAATTTAAATTAACTCCATCAATGTGTGTGAATTGCAGGATTTAAGTGCATGAATTAAGGACTAAAATACAAATAAAGTAATTGTGAGATCAAGCAGGTAGAGGCAGGTGTTTACAGAGAAGCTTTCTACAAGTTGTTTTGGGGAAAATCAGTTTTTCTTGCTCCAATATCTTCATTATTTGTGAATAGCACCACTCCATGCAAGCCTTACTCATTATTATATAACAAATACTGTCACAAGGGCTCCTTGGCAGAGATGGAAGGTGTTTAGACAGCTCAGAAAACCCTTTTTTCTAATGAAGGTTTTAGAGCAGAGGAGTAGGAAGAAAATATAGGGAAAGAACAGAACAGAAACAATCATACCTGCCATCTACAACTTCACTTTCATTAGTCAACCTTCAAGCTCTTTCAAAAAGTGAAATCAGGATCTAATCAGGGTTGATTAGATCCAGAGAGATAAAGCAAGTTCATGAGAGTCACAGACAAACTATGAACAAATCTAGGAACAGAATTTGAAGTCCCATTCCAGTACTTTGTCTATGCAAACTAAAAACTCATCAATCTTCAAGTCCCAACGAAACAGATGACAGCAGGAGGCAAAACCCCACATACTTTATTTACAATGCATGTCAGCAAAGTTCTCTTTTCCTGAACTGAAGACAGAATGGGAATTTCTTTTGCTCACATTTCCCAGTCTTGTGCTCACTCCAGCTGTGCTGTAAGCCACATTCTCCCTCTCTCAGTGTTTACCTGGACACAGAGTGCCAGTGTAACTCCTCTCCCTCAGGGAAATTCTGATGCCTTCAGCCAATTAACAGCTCCTAGCTCCTATTATCCTATTAACAAGTGCTTGAAAGATCAGGGAGTGCAGGGGAGGAAGAGACAGCTAAGTTGAGAAATCCAAATTAGTGTCTCCACTGGAGGGGGGGGAGAACAACAACAAAAAACAAACCCACAAAACAAATCCCAAAACCAGCTTAGCAATTAGCAATACCTGTGCTGTTTAGCTTGAGGCCAGGCCAGGCAGCAAGAACACCAGGCTGTGTTTTCTAATACATCTGTCCCTGCAACAGACAAAAAACAAGCCCTGGTTGTCTGTTGGAGCAGATGACACACGCTCTAGGCAGAGGTGTGCCAGGAGCCCTTTCCACCCCCAGTATGCACATTTATCCTTTGCTTCACACCATCCTAATGATCTTCTTCTCTGCTTTCCACTCCTGTGGCCTGAAACCTTCATTACAAAAGCAGATTTCCTCATCTGCTCAAAGCAATCCAACTTAATATCTGTCATCTTAAGTGGAGATGCAGCTCTTGCAATAGTATTTGTGTCAGAGGAGATTGAGCAAGATTTATGTGAACAGCTACTACTCACACGTACTGAAAATATAAAAATACACAGTATTGAAACAGCTTCCTTGCTTTTTCTCTCCTTGTGAACTTCAGCCCAAACTTTTGTGAAATAACTTTGCCTCAGTGTATTTCAGTTTGCCTCCAGCTCGCACCTAGCAGCAGGAAAACACACTGCCCCACAGCGTTCAAAGGGTCAGACTCAGAGTAACACTCCTGGTGGGCCCAGACTTATTCAGCTGGACCCAAATTTCTCTTACATGAAGCCATTTTCTTTCTTTGCGTTTTCTTAAGTTGCATCATAGTCACTGTTATTAATAGGCAACTTCATGGCTTAACTCATCTTGATTCTGGTAATTTTAAGTGTACAAATCATATCCCCACTGATGGGCATGAGAGCATCAAGAGCTTTCAGGAGTCCTTAACTTTTGCAAAACTTGCAAACTTGACAAGTGATTCTGTGCACAAATAAGAAATAGGACAGCACTCACTTCCTTTTAACTAGACAGGATCAGCTGGATGAACTGGGAAGAAATAAAACAAATGAAGAAATGAAGTCCTGATGCACACAAGCAGCAAGTGAAGTTAGATAGTTTCATCAAGTAACTAATTTTAAAGTCTCAAATAGCAGCAAAATCTGAAAAAAATGGGTGGATAAATAACTGCTCAATATCATAACTCAGTAACACTGCAATTTTTGATATACATATGGAACTGTCAGGATTGGCTGAAAAACCCATAAAAGTTATTGAATTTCAAATTGCTTCCCTCTGGTTTTTTGTCCATTTAACTCTTCAATTGTAAGATTCATAGAACCATGCTGCTGAAAATTTTTCCGTTTCCATTTCTCTGCCCAAAAAACCTAAACAAACAGATAAAAGATGCACATAGTCATGATCCTTGGCCTCTGCTGGCTGCTCCACTTCCACACTTCTTGCAAAAGCATCTGCATATGCAGCACACTAAAGCAGAAGTGTTGCATGGAACTGCACAGAGAAGTCAAGGGGTGGCTGTTCAGGAAGGTAAGGCAAGAAAATGCTGCGATGTCACTGCTGCCCTGTGAAACTGCCCCTGTGTTTCCTGTTGGAACCTGAAGTTATTACAATCCACCCCAGAAAAAAAGACCAGTTGTCATATACACGTTTTTCAAGACTGAATCATGAAAGATTGTATTTACCACTAACCCCCACACACAAAAAAATGAGTTCATTAGAAAACTAACTGAAGTGAGTGTCCATGCCTGTAACACTCAGTTTCTTGAAGCTTAATTCAGTTCTTAAGAAGCCCATGGATAGCATTAAACCTTTATATTTCAGGATCATAACATACATTGATTCCAATCAATAACCTTGATTTTGTAGAAATGTTTTGAGCTGAAAAGTGCAGACTAAAAATTCAGCAAGAATTTTTTTCCCGCTCAGAGAAATTATGATAAAACATTGAAATAGACAACTTGTACAGTTGTATGGCTTTCCTTAATCTCTTATTTAGTCTTGAAGATGACATTAGTTAGGTTCTTGAACAAAGTGTTGAAAAATACTGTGTAATATATCCGTAAGTATGAAAAGTAAGTCTCAAGTTAAAGTTTGCTACACACTAGTACAAACCTCTCTGGTAAACTTATGGGATCCACAAATCAGTAAGGATTAAAAGTTTTTCCTGTTTCTTCCATTTATTTGTTCTTTTCTGTAGATTTAATAGAACACGTGCATGGTTTCATCTACAAAATTTGAAGCAGAAAATTTTAAAACTTAGCATAAAATTAAAAATTTTTAAAACCTGATGGATAGAAAAATAATCTCTAACTAGTGTTCACATGATATCAACCTAGGATATGATAAAAGGTGAAAGAAGATACTCTTCAAATTATTAAATTGCCTTTTATTTTTCTTATTAAAGACAATAATTGAGCTTTATGCTGCATGAACTCATTCTTTTACACCTCAGAGAACTCAGATATTGTGTAGATGTTTCTTCTTCTGTAAAGTAACCACACAATAACTGTAGTATTTCAGAATGACAATAAGTAATGCATTTCAGTGTTTAACTACATGAAACTGCCTAAGGGGTTACCATTATGCAAAACTCTTGAAAATCTTGGATAACTATTCAATAATTGGCACTTTGACCCACTATCAAGACTGAGAAGGAAATAAAATTCTAAGTGAAAAAAGAGACACGTCACAATTGCAGGTCATAAAAAAAGAGTGGGTGTGGCTTGGCTAACCACAAAGCATCAAATAGTTTGGTTTTCTAGGGACTTCAGCTTGGGAAAACTGTAGATTACAGAGAGAGATGGCTACAGGAGGCATATCCTTAGGAAGTGTTTGGATTCAGTAGAAGAAACATATCCACAAATCCAAATTTTCAGAAGAAATCATAGACAGAAAAAACCAAACCAAAAACAAAAAAGACCAAAAAAGCCAAAGCCAGTGAGAAGCTAAAATTTTGATAAAATGTTGGGGATTACTGAGATTTTTCTAGCTCTAGTAGTGTGTCTCCTGATTTTGCAGTTCCTCAGGCTGCAATGGATGCGTACCCAGCTTCCTCCAGGACCAGTTCCCCTCCCCATCATTGGAAATTTGTGGCTGCTGGACTTCAAACTCCGCCGAGAAACTCTCAGTAAGGTATTTACTTATCTCTGTGCTTGCAAATCAGTCTGAATCTATTTTAACTTAAATTGTGCATTGCATAGGAATGGCTTAAAATGATATTTTTTTAAACCTCAAGCTTGATTATCAGCCAGTTTCAAAGGCTCTGAGGACCCTGCAGTATTAAAAATATTTCTGAGTATTAAACATCGTCATTGATTTAGTCTTTGCTACTTTCTCTCTCTTTTGGTTACATTTTCACAAACACTGTCATAGAATGGTATTTCATTGGCAGTTTCATTCTGTTTCTGTGTTAATCCAGCCCTCTGAGCCACCTCTAGCAGAGCTCTCCTTTCCTGACACCAGTGCCACTGGAACATCTCCATTAGAAGACCAAACATGTACCCTAAACAGACTTTTTTCGCATTGTTTTTTCAGCAAAAGTATTTCTTATCTGCTGTTAACAGGTTACTGCTAAAACAAAGCAGAAAAATCTGATTGCTGTCTACAACACAACCAAAATCAATCACATCAATCAAAATTATTTTTAAAAAGAAGGAATTTGCTTCCCATTATTACAAGGAAAAATATAAGCATGATGTGAGGAACAACAGAGGAAAATAAGAAAAATCCTAGAAGCTAGGAACAGCTATAGAAAAAAAAGCAAGAACATTACTTTTCTTTCTTTGTAAGCTAGAGACAAGAAAATACCATCATTTTGGTTCATTAATAAAATAAAGAGAAAAACTCTGGGATTTTGCCTGTAATAATTTGTTCTTTGATTCAGAGCTAACAAAGTGACCTGCTGGTTTTCTTTCTGTGAAATTAGAGAGGTCTTCTTCTGAGAGATGCTCTTAGCATTTATTCCATAAAGAGCAATTATCTTCTGTTCCCAAAGCACCTTAATAACAGAAATAATTTTTTTTCTAAAACCTGCAATTCAATTTGATGCCAACAAATGGGTTTAGTCACAACTACAGAAAACTCTTAAATAAATTGATATTTTAGTGCATGCTTTCCCTGGTTTATATTTACAAATTTCCTGTTATCAACTCTTCAGTTAACCAACATCTACGGAAACATCTACACACTGTGGATGGGACAGACACCTCTGGTTGTGCTGAATGGATACAAAGCAGTAAAAGATGGCATTGTCACCCACTCAGAAGAAGTTTCTGGAAGACCTCTCACCCCTTTCTACAGGGATATGATGGGCGAGAAAGGTACAAAGCATTACACAAGAATGAGATAGAACAAGGTGTAAAGAAGGAAGATGTTTTCTTGGGCACACACATCAGCTACTGCTGTACCAGGGCATAACTGGGCTCTCACTGCAAAAGTGTTTCATGCAGTGCTAAGCATATTAAGGAAAAACCAAAAATTTATTGTCTTATAAAGCACATTACTCAGTCTTTTTCCTTCCCAATAGATGAAAAGGAATACTTGCCTGGAGAAGTTGCCCTTCAATTGTATAATTTCTAAACCAGGAGACTGCTCATGTAGAAGATATCTATAGACAAAGCTGTTCAGTCCTCACCAAAACCCACTCAGTTTACAGGGATGCATTTAGGAGCAGCTAAGTGTCATAAAATCCTCAGAGACCAAAACTCAGCTTCTAAAGTCTAAAATCATTGTATCTTATTAGTGAAATACAACCTTATCTAAATCAAAATTTGCTGTGAAAAGATTTTCCCTCCCAGCAATGAACTAAATGTTTGTGTGTTTTTCAGGTATTTTCCTGACAAATGGCCACACCTGGAAGCAGCAGAGACGCTTTGGCATGACAATTATAAGAAGTCTGGCACTTGGTAAGAACAATTTGGAGCATCAAATTCAAAGAGAGGCCTGTCACCTCGTGGATATCTTCACAAATACAGACGGTAAATTCACTGGAAGAACAATACTTAGCGTTTTCCTGAAAGATTAGGGCTGCTAAAAGTTTCACAGTATATTTTTACAAGTACTATAGACATTGTCACTATTAGTAGAAATTTCACTGGCTTCTTAACTGCATTCTTTGCAAAAAATGTTTTGTCTGCACAGTGGGCAATATAAAATTGTTTCTTTTTAAATAAGGAGAGTTGAAAAAATGTTTATTATCAACACAGCTGGTAATGATTCTTACACTCAAGGAATATAGAAAACCCTCCTTAAAATACACAATGTATGACCTGCTGGAAGTCATTCTAGGACAGCAGGCTTTCAGGATTTGGCAGAGAAAGGACTCCAAAACAAGGAATGTATCATTCAGTTATCCAAAAAAATTTTCTTTTCAAGGTTTGGATGAAATAGAAACCAATAGAATTTTAGCAAGCTGCCAAAATAAAGCAATTAAATATAAATATTCTGAGCAGCCAAATCCCTCACCCACATCTTGTTCCATGTGAAAACACAGAGCGGTTGCCTGAGGTCTCTTTCCAAATTTCCTTGGACCAGGCCCATGTCTCTTCTGAGAGCAACATTCACACATCTGTAAAATGCAGGAGATGAAAAAAATCATCTACCTCGAGTCCCTGTACAGCCCAAAGCTTTACCTACCATGCAACCCTGTCTCAATTTTAAACTCAATAAATGTGTTTGCTCTTTCCAAGAATAACCATGAGCACTGGACTGAAGTCAGGGATGTATTTTCCACAGAAGTATACTTCAAAGGTTGTCCCTGCCATTGAAATGTGTACTTAATTTTTTTTTTTTTTTAATTCAATCCTTTTCAATGGGAGATGTATTCCACCCTATTATATGAGCTTTGCCCTTTCAGTCTGTGGAAAAAAAAATACATCTATGTTGGATTGTTAAGCTGATACTTGAAAATCAAGAAGAGATAAGTCATTTCAACAGAACTAAGAAATGAAAACGCTATTTTTTTTTCTGGTTTTTTTTTGGGGGGGGGTGGGGGGAATGGTGAGAATTCTTTGTTTTGGTTTTTAACTGCAAAACTTAAATATCTACCTCCATATTTGAAGGCATATGCTCTAATTAATTGCTTGTGTTTCCACACAACCCAGACCACAAGTCAAAGAAGGGGAGCTTTTAGGTTTGTCTGCTCAAAACTGATTATAACTGTATTTTACAAGAGTAAAGAGCAGATTGAAAATTAAGATTCTGTGCACTTACAATTCATGCAGTTAATATATACTAAACTAGGCTTAACTTACCAGAATTTTTTCTAAAAATAGTCTGATGCCTTGTTGTTTTTACCATTAAAAAAGAAAGTCTTCCTCATTTTTCTTGCTGTAGTCAATTCAGAAGTTCTCACAGCACTTCCCATATTCACAGGCAAACCTTTTGACCCCCACACTTCCATCGTCCATGCAATTGCAAATATCATTTGTGCTGTTGTTTTTGGTCATTGCTTCTCCAGTGAGGATGAATCTTTCAGCAAACTCATCAAAGCTATTTATTCTGTGATCTACTTTCAAGGTACTATCTGGGGCAGGGTAAGAGCCTACTTTTCTTGTTCCTTAAGATACATTTGCACTTGACAAGTCAAAAGAAATTAAAAGTCAATTATTCACAAACCTTTTCATTTCCAAATATACCATAGTTCTACAAGCCACAATGAAGTAATAAATAAATACATACTTTGTATATGTAATTATTGGCTTCTAATTCTTCTTTATGTCTGTAAATCACATCCTAAAATTAAAATTCTAGTTCATCACTGCTTTTCACAGATTTCCAAAGAGCAATCATTTGCAGAACACTATGTATTTAAGATTCTTAGTTCTTAAATGAAAGCAGCTTCTAAAATTTTATTTAGTCTTGCAAATCCAGAAAGGCTGTTAATAAGAACTAAGTCTTCAAATGGATGCTCTTTTGAAAAGACATCTTGCTTCAATTCATAAGTCATATTACCATCAAGATCTGAGTTATTCTGAGCTTTCTATAAGATACAGGTTACAAATTCATCACACCAAGAAGAATATTTTTTAAGTTCTTGAAACCCTAGCTATTGCTTAACTTGTGCAGATTTTGGCACACTGGCATTCTAAAAGAATTATTCTATCAGGTTCTTCATAAAGGGATGCCTGAAATAATTACAGTAAAAAAATAAAAGGTTGAGAAAAATCTGTTTGCGAGTCAGATTCAGCACTCAATTACTCACCCATTTTCAGAAGCCCTGTTACATTATTAGGTGTTGATCCAAAAAGTAAAATATAATCATGTTCCCAGTATTTAATCTCTCTTGTGTCTGTTGCCTCTCATCCCAGTTTGGTTGCTCATGTGTTGTGGTGGCTTCACAATTATCAGGAAATGAGAAGTGGGATCTGACACACTCTGCTTTCTGTTTAACACCACAGCTGTACGATGCCTTCCCATGGCTCATGCACCATCTCCCAGGGCCTCATCAGGAGGTGTTTGCATACAATGACTTCATGCACAGATTAGTCATGGAGGAGGTTCAGGCCCACGAAAGACAGAACACAGGTGATCCACAGGATCTCATTGGCTTCTACCTGGCTCAAATAACAAAAGTAAGTATCTGCTTATCACACTCTCCCTTCTTTGGCTTCAATGCCTATTACAAACACTTGCTGTTCCAATAACTGCCAAAGGATTTTTATATGCACACTCTATTTGTGCAGCACTGAAGGTGTTTGATTTGATGGGCTGCTCACTGTTATCATCAAACAATGACAGTTTCTATGTGACTGGTGAAATATCTGAAATTATCTATTTCATAGTCTTCTTGTGAATATGTCCTACAGACCAAGGACGACCCTACTTCTACATTCAATAAAGAAAATATGGTTCAGACTGTGGTTGATCTTTTGCTGGGAGGGACAGAAACAACAAGCACCACCCTTCTCTGGGCACTGCTCTACATGGTACAATACCCAGATATACAAGGTGAGCAAAAGCACCATCAGAGAGAGCTGCATTCAACATCACCATGAACATCATTATGTAATAATATTGATCAATCACTTTTAAGGCATCAAAAAAACCCTTAGCTATGCACATGAAAGGTGGTACATCAGCAACTAGGATCCAGAAAATGGAAGGTCAATAAATGAAACAAACAGGTGCTTCCCCATCTGGTTCACCAGCAACACTAGCAGAAATTAGTAGTAGTCACAGTTTTACGTCTCTAGAATGGGTTGGCAAGAGAGAATAACAAATTAAAGACATTTCATATGCAACCTCGTCTTCTCCTAAACGTCGAAGTAGAAAAGTTTTTAAAATATATCCAATCTGATACATATTTATAAACAATGCAAATTATACTTGTAATTTCAAATTTTAATCCATTTTTTGAAACACAAAACCGTACTATCCTCATCACCAAGTAGGTGTCTTAAATGAGGATTCAGGGAGAAGCACTTCTTGATCAACTGAAACCTACACAGCAGTCAAACCACATGCCAAAGCATTTCATAGCAACATAATTTCTTTTATTTCCTTTAGACAGGACATTCTCATACAAAAATCTAGTGGAAATAAAGAGGGGAAGTGGGGGAGGGGTGCAGAGGGGGAAATGAAAGTATTTTCATTTGTCTGCAGAAAAGGTTCAAAGAGAGATGGAGGCTGTTCTGGAACCCTCCCATGTCATCAGCTATGAGGACCGTAAGCAGCTGCCCTACACAAACGCTGTGATCCACGAGGCTCTGCGCTACAGCAACGTCACCTCCGTCGGGGTCCCTCGACAGTGCCTGAGGAGCACAACTCTGCTGGGTTTTCACATTAAAAAGGTACAGAGGATAAGGATAGCCACCCTGTTTCTTACATCTTTGAGCTGTTAATATTTAGCATTTATATGACATAGAGAGAAGGAAAATCTATGGAAAATGAGATCTCTGCTGCTTCTTGCAGGGCACGCTTGTTTTGCCAAATCTGCACTCTGTGGTCTATGACACTGAGCACTGGGCAACCCCTTGGAAGTTCAATCCAGATCATTTCCTAGACTTGGATGGCAACTTTGTGAACAAAGAGGCATTCTTACCTTTCTCAGCAGGTAACACCCTGACCTTGAATATTCCTGCTTGCTCAGTTTTGCAGTAAGAGTAAAAATACTAAGTTCTAAAATACACATTTATAAAAATGTATTTGACTAGATTGACTATTTGACTGATTTGAAAGACTTAAAGTCAGGTCTTTTGCTGTGGCTGGGAGACACAATGCTCTTTCCTTGGCATATCCATCCAGTGTTAGGGCTACAAGGCCCTAACACACCCTTCTGAATTTCTGTTAAAGAAATCCTGATTACATCCTTCTCCTTGGCTTTAGAACTGCATCCCACAATTCTCCAGCCCTCCCTTCTCAACAACCAAAATAAGACTCTGAAGTATATGAATCTTTTTAAAATCTGGCTTAGCTAAGAAGCAATTCATGGCTCTTACAAAAAGAATCAACAATGGAAAGGGAGAATTGCATGCTCCAGGGGTGAAAAAAGACCAAACAACCCAATCAAAACACCAAATCAAACACTTGACAGAGGTGCACAGTTTCTCAGTTAAATGTTTCCCCACCCTCGTCCTAAAGCATCTTCTGTCTTTACAGAATGAAATAATTATCTTACATTAACAGAATTTATGGAACTCAGTAGAATTTTGTGCAAAGTTCTTTTACAGAATTTAACTTTACTCAACTGACTCTCTTGATTTTCCTCTGCAGGGCACCGTGTATGTTTGGGGGAACGGATGGCACAAGTTGAACTGTTCATCTTCTTTACCAATCTCCTTCGGGCATTTACATTCCAGCTCCCTGAGGGGGTAAAGGAAATCAATCTGGAGTACATTTTGGGTGCAATACTGCAGCCACACCCATATAAACTCTGTGCTATTCCACGCTAGTCTGTAACACACCAAAATGCTGAGAGACTTCAACCCGTTAGTAAGTGCAGATCCTTTAAAAACATGCTTCACTATCTCAATTCTCATCTACTGAACTTTCTAAAATCAAAGTAAGTCTACTTGAGAACTCACATAATTGAGTCTTAGGCATACATAAACACACAATATTTCCAAAAAAATGTATTTTCACACTCACGGTAGCAGTGAATTAGCTGTAGGATGCTAGAGAAGTGCCCTGTATCAAGTAGTTTCCTGCATGTATGCTCTGTCAGGTATCACACTCTTAAAATGGGACAACTGTTCAGTAAGGATGCTTGAATAAAATTTACTTCAATAAGCTGTTAGTCTTCTGAGTTCACAGGTCTTTTCTTAGATCTTCTTGCAGGAGGTAATAGAATACACACACTTTTAGAGTTAATTCCTTTGTCTTTCACTCTCCCACACAGCATTATAAAGTGTAGCATAAACTTCACACACACAAAAATTATTATAGTATGGGGCCTCTCATAACCACAGCCCATTTAGAAATCCTTACATCTTTTTTTACTTCCTCAGTATCCAATTTCTATTTCACCACAACTCAGGTCCATGCACTTTCACAAACTTTTCCTTCTGTTTAGAAACACTGTTGTATGATCCAATAATTTCCTATTTGAAGAGAAAGGAACAGCTTTTCAAGAAATTAAGGAAATAAACAAAGATGTCAACAGCTGTTTTAGTAGGTACAGTAGAGATTTATTACTCAGTGTTTTCTTTTGCTCTTTTTCCACACCAACAGATGTGGAAGGTTTTGACCATTTAAAATTCAGCCGAAAGCATCCTAAATCCTTTCAATTTTCAAAGTTCAACAGGAGCTAGTAGAAAATATGGCAGGATGTAGTTAAAAGCAAAAGCAGAATACTACATATTTCTGGGACTAATGGAAGACTTGATTCTTCTTGCAAGTATCTCCCATTATTCCCTTCCACTAAGTGAAATCCCAGGGTTCTAACACATGGTAATGTTCACTACCACAGAACCAATGCATGCGTGACAAAATTGAAGTATTTAACTTTTAAAATAAAAGCCATTTTAAAACTTTTAATGTTACTTTATTTTTACTGAGAAAAATATAACATTTAAAAATCCTGCTTGAATAAGAAACACTTTCAAACACAAATTAAGAAAAAACCCTTAAACCGCACATTTCTTGCGGCAAGGGCAGCTCTTCCATAAAACACATTCTTACAGATTTACAAAAGCAGTCTGATAGCATAGTTCAAAAGTTTTCAAGTCTTGTCTTTTTTATTTCTGGCATTCATTAAAGAAAAACTCACCAAAAAAATCTTTCCTTTGAACCCACCATCTCCTTGGTTCCATAGAGGGCCCAAGGTAAAGTGCTCAGCAGCAAGACTGGCAGTGTCAGATACAAGCTTGGACTTTTTCTACTCCAGTGTATTTTGATGGTTCTTGAGGTATATCCTTCCTGAAAAAAATACTCCAGTTTTTCCTCTATGTTCACCATCCCTTTGGTCACATGAAGTTATTCTGTCAGGTTAATTGTTTTTTTCCTCCCAATAAAATATTATTTTACAATCACAGAATGGTTATAGCTGGATGGGACTTCAAAGATCATCTTGTTCTAATTCCTCTTGCCATGGGCAGGGACACATTCCATGAGACCAGGGTGATCAGGGCTCCATCCAACCTGGCCTTACACATAAGTTTTATGGTTTTCTTCCAAAACCGTAGCTTAGGTTAAAACATGTGCATATTCTTCACTTTTAGTTTTGAAGAACTGAGGCACGTGATAATTTGCTGTACAATGCTCCTTCTAAAAATGTGGGAAGACCAAATATTCAGAGTATTCACGATTAAAAGAGGTATTTTTTTACTAACAAGTTGTTACAGGTCTGACAGTTGGTACCAGTGAAAAACAGCTGGGCTAAGAGCATCTTCTTGTTACTCCATTTAAAATTGAGATGAGCAAGAGATGAGGCATTCCTTGGCTTCCCAACGTTTCTTGGAATGACAGTGTCAGAATTCCACACTACCTTTTCATCACAGTTGTAAAGGAAACCTATAAGAAAATGTGCAATAGAGAGAAAAAAAATCTGTTTCATCAGGGTTTTTTTGTCAAGTAGGAATTAAAGCAGATCTGTGGTGACACCAAGAAGGAATACATCAAAATAGACCACTTACCTCTTGTAACACCTGTCCAAGTGTCTCCTGGCTGTGAATGCGCTTCCTGTTGAAAACCCAAACCACACTTATTTCTGCACAAAGCATTGGCAATCTTGCAAATATCAAGTATTTATCCCACTTCAAAAAGAGAAGCTATAACAGGCTTCGTTCTACATCCTTTCCCTTAGCAAATCTTTCTGCAATTCTGTTGAGTCTTACTGCACTCTTATGGAATTTTCAGTTCTGCTTCAGAGCTGTTGTTATTCACATCATAGTTAGAACTGGAATGAGTCTGGCTACTCATCGCATTTTCTCAAAAACAACCCAGAATTTTAAAAGGCATTGGTAACTTTCAGCATAAATCCTAACATTGATGATACAGCTGGTAATCAATTACTTAAGTGTCATCTCCTGCAGCAAGAGACATCTGATATTCAACAAGTGATGCAAGAAGATTTAACAAATACAACCTTTTTTAGTCATTCCTCCAACACAATCAAAGTGGTAAGCAGTGCAGGCAAACTACAGAAATATAAAGACTTCACAAAAACCTTCCACCAAGAGAACACATTACTGCAGTAATTTCCATGCATCCTGTAATACAAGCACTAAAAAGACTAGAAAAGCAAATAATAGGCAACATAATTTTACCTGTCTATTTTGGTTGCTATGACCACTGTAAAATTGCCTTCTGTATTGGGCAAGTATGTAGAAGGTATAATGACATAACTTCCTGCAGGAAGCCTGCAGAGTCGGCTGACTTCCTGGGAATAGCAGTGAGGAACACAGCTCACCAGTGGCTCCAAATGTACAAAAGAAGTAGTTTGTGGTTTCCAGCTGCTGTTAGGCACCTGCAAAAAAGAATGCAAACATGCCTACTGTTTCAGTCTCACAGTGTTTCATTCCTAGGACACCACAGTGTGATATGGTCTATCTCTATTCCAAATACTCACTCTACTGTACAGAGCTAGAGAGAAGAGGAATGGAAAAGCTTCTAGAAAACCCAGATGGCAGTACTAAGAACAGATGAATCATTCCTAGCTTGTTTGTAAACAAATGTATAGAACCCACTGTAGAGCTTTCTCTGTTTTCAAACCTCACTCTTCCCTGCTGTAGCCTAAAGCACTTGTTTTCTGCCTCAGGGATCTGCTGAACAGACTGTGCCCTTCCTATATCTAGTGGTCTTTCCAGTACTAAAATGTCATATTAGACTTCATCTCAGTCTTCTATAGGAATATAAAAAACACCAATCTTTCTTCACATATTGTGCACTTGAAGTTTTATGATTACTTCTGGTGCCCAACTCCAGACTTTTCACTTAAGCAACACCTTTTTTTGAAGCATGTTTTCTAAAAATAAAGCTACCTTTCTCTGCAAAATAGTTACTTAAGCAGCAGCTTCTTTGGTTACACTTATGCAGTTGAACACTGGTACACACATGCTGAATCTGTATCTATATATATCAACTCAAATCTTGTTTTGTTTCTGATCACCTGCTCAAGATATCGTAGTCCTTTAGATCCAATATAATTTGCCTATAAACATTTAATTATTAGACACAATGAAAGTAAGTTTTTATGATGAATTACCAAAAGGTTTGGTCCTCAATCACTAGGGCACCAAGAATTCTTTGCAAATCCTCAAAAGAGTTCATCATAGCTAAAACTAATTTAGAACCTTGTAAGAATTCAGTGGAACCAATTATCTGGTTACTATGCAATGTAACTACCAAAGTTATTCCATATCTTTCATGGGCATCACTTTGAGAGTCAGCCTGTATTTCTCCCAGAAGCAGCAAGACCCTTGCAAACTGCAAGGAGCCCTATGCTGCCAGGCTAACCTTCACCCTTGGCAAACAAGCAATCAAACTGACCAGAAGCCTTACCTGGAAAATATGGAAACCTATTGGACAACACTTGCTATCCAGGCAGTGCTGACGGAGGGTGACTTTCACACTGCTTTTCCCTGGGCCTGCAGGAATGGAGAGGGGAAAGCAGGGATTGGTATGGAAGGAGGGGAAGTTCCTGCTACCTCCAGCATTTAGCCCATTCTTCCAGCATCCATGCAGCTGCACTGTCTCCCATTCACCAGCTGGGAGTTCTTCACAGAGGGCAGCATCCATGGGTGGTGGCTTTAGTTCACTATTAAACATGAGAGAAAATAAACAAAAATGTATAAAACACATACTAACAGAATACAAACAAACCTGACCAGCTTTTAAACAGCTGCCAACACTACATTTTGCCTCTGCATACAGCAAGAAGCTGCAGTTTAGAGTCAAGATGCTACTCATCTGACTACTTCTTGTTAGCATTTTAACAAGAGGTAGTAGCAGCTTCATGACAAAAACAAGGAGCTGGGAAACTTGCATGAATTCAAAGACAATACAATGCTGTTATACAGCACTCAGCACAATTCTTCAAAATATTTTGAACATTTCCACTTTGTGCTACACTTGTATTTATGTCAACAAATTTAAGAAACATTCTGTTTTGTTTTAAACCTACCTGAGAGAGATCCTTCCTGTTGAAAATACACGAAGCAAGAAATTCCCTACTGCATCTTTCAGAAAAGTGCTGGGAACAACAAGATAAAAGCCAGGTGAAAGGTCACAGCACACATGGACTTCTCTGTCGTAGGAATGGCAGACAGTACCTACAACTGGAGGAGCAGAGAGGGTCTTTGGAAGGTTAAATCGTTTCTTCTCCACCTAGAATAGATGCATAATGATGCATGGTGGTTTAGGAAAAATGACTAGTTTGTAATAAAATAAAAATTATCAAATATTGTTCAAAACATTTTCAAACATGCATACATTTACAAATTAAACAAAGACAAGAGTATCAGCAGATGACCTGAACATCAAAGAGAAGTAGGAAGAGTTAATATTCAGGAGTAAATTTAGGAATGGCTTCAAGCAATCAGCCCAAAATGTCATGCACTACTTTGGAACAGTCCCAAGTGCTTAGTAATAAGAAGTACTAGTGCAGTAATAGTTTGTACAGACAGTAACTGTGAGATAAACAGAACCATTCCAGCATAAACCAGAAACAGAAAAATTGTGACTAGTTGAATCGTATCACTGGCATGGGAAATGAATTGTTTACTCAAATGTTTCAGTATTGCTTTTAAACTTCTATTTGCAAAGAGAAAAATGTCACTTTTGTATTACCTTCCAGACATGCAATCCCACAGCCTGGTAATTCTTTCCCTGTATGCCTTCAGTCAAAGATGGATTTTCCTCTGCTAAGCGAGTTGGCTTTTGAATCCTTCCAGCCCAGTCAGTGCTGTATTTCCTGTGTTTCTGCAGCAGAGCAATGCACACCTCACTGGACTCACACACCCTCAGCCAGAACTTGGGGTTGGTAGGGAAGCTGCTGTTGTTGCGGCAGCCACCGGCAGACTGGCCTCTCACCCAGGATCCAAAGAGATTCTGAGAGTGATACAGCACTTTCTCTAACAAAATAAGAAAATCATAGTGAGGATTTCAGACATGGGAGCTGCCTAATTTTACACAACAGGTATATGGCAGAGATTGCTCAGCCCAAGAAAACATGCTGTCATAGCCTGACACTTCCCCAAAGTAGAAATTCATGACCAAGATTTTGAGAGGCCACAGTTGGTAATGAAAGACTAATGGCATAACTTTTGCAAGACACTGTTACTAGAAATCTCAAGTGTATATACCATTAAAAACAAAACATCACAGGGCTGTCTAAAATAACAGTCTTCTAGAGAGATGACACTAATCTTTCAATCAACTAGCAAGTAACTGGATTTCCTAGAAATATCAATGGTTTCTCTAAAGATCATTAATTCCTATTGCCCTTCTGTTTTTCAGTAGAGACAGAAAAGGCCAATGGATCTACAGAAGAGGGAAAAACTGAGAAAGAGAAATTATGGTCTAGTTGTACCCATTTGCAATTCAAATCAATTCTTCCCCTTGACATAATGTTATTTGCATGAGAAAGATGTCTCCTCATACCACACCTGTATAGAGGCTCTGAAGTTGTCCTTCCTCATTGACTGGAAAGCCCACAGTAATCTCATCAAATTCCCTGAAAAATTCTTCTTCATCAACCCAGAATTCTCCTTCTTGGATCTGTGAGAGGAGTTCTGAAGCAACTACTGGATCTAGCTGGTTCCATCCTTGACCACTGCACATAATACAGAAGTTAACATTCAGCTCTTTGCCCAGTAGAGTTCAAGAACAATGTTCCACCAAATATCTTATGGAGCAGGACAGCAAGAAGAGATTTCTTCATTTTACTGTGAAATAATTGCATTGAAAAATTCTCTGCACACTGCTGGTCAGTGAGAGGGATCATAGGAAACACAAGTCATAACTTATCAAAGAAAACTTAGAAAGAGCCTAATACCAGACTGGATGCAGAACAGACTTCTGGGTGAAATAGGTGCTTTGTTTACAACAGTCACTACAGTAAGAAGTCTGAGAGCAAAATAAAGGCTTTAAACTGTTGTTTAAAAAAGAGGCAAAAAAGTAAAACAAGCTGTGCTGTCATTGTTCTGAACAAGTTTTATTGCTTTACAACAAAAACTGCCATTTGTATTAAGCAACTGACTACCCCCATGAATCTGTTTGCCAAGTCTTAATAATCCAGAATTTAAACCCCTCATTATTTAGGTCTCATTAAAAGCTAGTAGTTTCAACATTTTCCATTGTTTCACTAGCAAAAAGGAACAGTTCTGCACTTGAATAAAACAGGGCTCTAAGGCCATCCAATGAAACCCTATCCTCTTGCAACTATATGGCAACATACTCTTTGACAAAGAAACAAGAGGCCAACTGTATAACCAAAACACTCTCAAAAGAAAAAAATATCAGCTGAAGTCTCAATAAATGCAATTAAATTATCTGTCTAACTCAGGGAAGAAAAATATTTCTACAAAAATGTTCCTGAACATCACCATATTGTTAACATATTTTAATGCTGAATGCTTGTTGCTTGTGTCAAGAATTGCATGTTCTTTTGTATAGTCAAAACATGCTAACATTTTCCAAAATAAGTCAGTAGGGTCTGCCCTTTCATTCTTGTTACTTTTCTATTTGAGCTGCTACACATATTTCTGCAAGTCCTTTAAAACAGTTCTCTTCTTTATTTCTACTTTATATGGACTCAGTTCCAGCTTCTCCTATTATATCAATCTACAGAAATGAGATAACACGAGCAACAAGCATAAGCATCCTTCCTTCTGCTATAGTTTTATAATTGCTCCTTTGCTTGTTTTCTGCAGCTGAGCCAGGAACAAATGAGAAGAGGCAAGGAAAGCTGAATAACTGCAAGAAACAAACACGATCAAAGATACTTAGATCAATGGCAGAACATCAAAAAAGCACAAAAACCAGAAACAGAAAGTTAGTCAACACCTTAAGTTTGTCTCTATAAAAAGATATTACTTGATAAATAAAAAAGTTATTAAAAAATTGATATTGCGAGAACTAAGAGATTAAATTTACTAGCCTCAGAACCAATGAGCTGTGTGAACTCTCAGCTCTCTAAAGAATTGCACACACACTGAAGCCTCTCTCCTCTGCTAGAGATTATTAGCACTGTTTGCCTATGTAATACATAGATAAGCTTTGTGCTTCAGAACTTACACAAATGGTTTTCCAAATGAATAGAAAACTGCTCACCCCTCACACCAAGGCCCTTTCCAGCACCGCCTCCCCCAAGGATTTCTTATTCGTAGCAGGAAGATTTCCTTGCCTGACACTTCAGAGAGATTCAATGTGTCTATCACAATAAAGGCATGAAATTCTCCTAGTTCACTTGCACCTGAATAGGAAAAAAAAAATTGTAAAATAAACAAAAGAATCTGCTCCATATTTTACAATAACATTAGTGAAAGAAGTCAATTTTGTGATAAAATGAAATTGGTTTTAAATCTGTATTACAACAGCACAAAGAAACCTCAAATAGTTCATTTTAGTGACTATAAAGGCATAAAATAACATTGCAAAGTGTATTAACTTGCTCCTTAATCTCAAGTCCCTACAAATTCACTGTGCTAAAATTAATTGAGGTTTTCAAGGTTGTTTTTGAGATGCTTTTTCAAGGGAGTGCATTTTGGGGGGGATGCATTTGTTTTTGAGAATTGACTACATTAGCTTCTAATATAAAAAGCACTCCTCCAAGGCAGCCCCCATCCTGAACTCAGTAACATCCTTAAATCTTCATTTATCCAATATTTCAAATTGTACCATGAAACTGGCTAGGTACTAAATCAGCATTTGTATTTGCTGGCTGCCTTGTGCTTTGAAGCCTGTTAATAGAGACATTTACTATCACCTTGTCTGGAGTTGAGGACTGAACAGCTTATTACACACTGTTCCTTCAGATTCATTAATCTTCTAAACACTGCTTTCTCCAAAACCATGCCAGTCTTCTCTTTCTCCACATTTTTCCCAGGGTCTTTCAGGGTCCATCTTTCAGCAATTCCTCCAGTCAGATCAACCAAAGCATCTGCCACCTGTCCTGCCCACAACTGCTCATAAGATCCATGCACTCTAAAAAATTTAAACAAAAAAAAAATTAGAAAAATACAAAGAAAACATAAAAAGTTTGTACACACAGAACAAAAGAAACATAATTGCTACACACACTTGCCACCCCACTCTATATCACAGTCATGACTGTGCCTGACCTCATAACCCAAAGTAGGGAAGAGAAAGCACATACTGCTTTATTTATATAGAACACAACATCTAAAGAATATGTAAACCATTGGATATTCCACTGCTTGATGGGAAGTTTCTTACATTCTCTCTATTCTACTCAAAAAACTGCTGTTGTCTAGTACTAGTGATTTGTACCTTATTATCCATGCTCTCCATTATCTTTTGTGATATACTAACTGCATTGTGTATAAATAGAAATATTTCTTCCTCTTCAATTATTCTTTACTCACTCTGCACAAATAACTAGAGCAGCATTTCCCTCAACAACCTAAGCAAACCAAGAGACTGCCCCACCTGATGCAGCAGATGCAAAAATATAGCCAAAGAAGTCAAGACTAAAATAGAGTTATAAGACTGAACAATAAGAGCTCTGCAGACAACTAATATTACATTTCAAACCTACAGAGAAGCTTTAACATGACATTGGTGCTTCACAGCTTCTGTTCAATCTACAGCTAAATTACTATATAATTGAAGTCTGCCTCTGCCCTCTGCTGGCAATCACAAAATCTTCAGCTCCGATTCTTTGGGACATTAGATGTCTATCTTATCAGCGCATTTTGTCTCCAAATTGCTTTGTGTTTCTGGACACCTTCTCTACTGATGTGCCATAAACCACTAAATAGCTGCATTTTCTTTCTGAAACAGTAAACTAACAAATTATACAAAGCAGCACTGAAACTCTCTCAGTGAAACAACCAGAGGCTCAACTAGCACAAAATCACTCAATGTTGCTTTCCATGAAAATATCTGCATGCTTTCTGCTTCTCATTGAGCTCTCATCTTCCCTAGTAAAACATCTTCCTTTAAGAAATTAGATAACTAATGGGCAGAGACTTAACAAAGATCATTTGAATCCTGAAAACTGATTGCAGCTTACTTTTTACCAGAATTACCTCCCTTACTTAGACTATCTTACTTCATATGCAACTGGAAGCACACCTTACAGACCTACAGTTTAAAGAGCAACTTCTGCACAAACCAGGATGGGACCACCAGCAGTCACAATGCCCAGATCTATACCCAAAGCAGCTGGGTAAAATAAGCAAGCAGAAGAAATATACAAGTACTGTAGTTCTATTTCCATCAATAGCAGCGTTCACATACTTTGCATAAGCTTTTTCCAGGAGTGGAAGCCAAAACAAATCCTCTGTCTGACACTGGGAAAAGCAGAGTTTGCCCCCAAGGCAAGGCAGGCGATCATCAATGGTCACTTCCACCCAGTGGCCAAACTGCCACACCCGGCACGTGAAGCAGCCTTGGTAGGACTCATCTGTCCAGCTGGGCTGGCCTGGAGGGATCACCTGCAGGGCAAAAGACAAAATCAAGGCAAACAATGAATTAATGAAGGTTATTTTCTGCAAACAAAACTAGATTAAAATAAACAGAATTTGTATCAGCCATTTGTAACAAACATAGAAAAAACAGAATAACAAAAGCAGTGAAACTGAGCATAATGAAGGCAATGCTCACACGGCAGCTTGGGACTGCAGAACAATACACAAATGTCAAATAGGCAAAGAAAACTTTTCTAACATGAAACTTCTCCATACCTTGTTCAGTAAGTATTTGCTCTTCTGCAAAGCTACACAGGCACACAGGAACCAACAGTCTCCCAAAATTCCTTGTTTTACTTGCACATCCTGCAGATTGTTTGAAAATAACCGAGGAGAGGAACAAATGTCCTAAAATTAAAGAAGAGGAGTTAAAGCCAAATCCTGCATGACATTCTAAGAAATTCTTAGTTTTAGGGACTGGGAGGGCTTCAGAGATCTCTCATAAAATAAGGGAATTTATTACCTCTAGAAAATTTCCTTTTCCTACACAGCCTAAGTAAGAAGTAACAAATAAATGGCTTGTGGGGGTATTTTGCAGGTACTTCATGAATGTAAAACCAGATCCCACAGGAATTTTAGTACACAACTGTCACCATCAGGTGCAGCCCTAGCATAAGCAGTAAGAAGAAAGACTACACAATTCATTAGCTCCTTGCTATGACAGGGCTGATGCTATCCACATTAAACTGCACATCCCAAGTTACAACAGTCTCAAAATTAGAACAAGGGAAAAACCTAGGGCACAGAAAAATAGATCAGTTGGTAGCACAAGAGGGAATTTCAGCTGCAAAGTCCTGAACACTTAATCTGATCTGAAAGTGAGTTTGTGAAATGGTTCTCCTTATATATAAACACTGCAAGAGATGGAAATTAACTCAACAGCCCCCAGCAGCAATCAAGGTGTTAAGAACAAAAGCAGGAAGCTGCATACTCAACTCCATGAAATCGTTTGTTTGCCAATTACACCTGATAACCGAGAGCTCTGTCACTGTCCTACAGACAGCCTCAAACACTGGGGAAAAAATACAACTCAAGACAATATGCCTTTTACCTCCATGACATTTTTATAGCCATTTTTTTCCCCTCTACACAAAGGCAGTATCATAAATACTTCACCTTAAATAGGTGTACTGCAGAAATGCATTCTAAAGCTTTTAGGTCTAATATATTTTGCTCTGCAACCCAGCTATGTTTAAAAGCAATAGAAGTCACATGACAAGTTATAAACTTCAAAAGTTTTCTTTCCTGTTTTCAAAGAAAGCAACCACAAAAAAAGCAATAGGCTTCTAAAAAATTCTAAAATACAACTACTTATTTTCAAAACCATTATGCAACATATCAGAAAGTTTGGAAATGACAAAATGCTGCATTCTAACATGGTATGCACATAATTTGCATAATGAAACATATTTCTAATAAAATATCTGAATTTCTCTTACTGCTATGAAATTTAAAAGCTCTACAAGAGGATTTAAATCAAGTCTACAAACAAGCACCTAGACTAAAAACTGTAACTCACGTATTGTTAACGCTGACATACACTGGTTTTATCACTTCTGTATTTCCAAACAAATAACCAGAAGTAGTCATTCAGTGCAAACCTGCATTTACTACCTAAAAGCCCAATTCTGCTAAAATTAGCCTCTTATACCTTAAAACTCACCTTAGGTCTCAACCAAGATATCTCGCCTCTGAACTGGGCCAGCGGGGTACAATAATTAAAAAATATGGAGGTATCACTGGCCGGGAACGTGGGGTCTGTATAAAGGTCTCTTGCCACCATTAACTGCTTTTTCTCTCCCAGCATTTTCAACACAGTCCTAAGCAGCTTTGCCGGCTATTCCTACGACTTTAAATGGCCAGGCAGCAACCTGCAACAGAAGCGAGTGTTACTGGGGTATTGCAACAGGGAAACAAACAGGCATGGCGGATTTACTGAGGGACGGACAGCCTCTCGCTGTAACACGGAGCACCTGGAACCACCATGGTGCTACTTCTTCCAGCACCTGACGCCGCCCTACAGCGCTCAGCTGGAAAACAAGGGGGCCTCCTCATGAGGAGACCTACACCCGCCTAGGTCCCTGCGCACACCCTCCACACAAAGCTCCCCCGCCCACCCCTTTCCTCACACCCAGCCCGAACAGGGCCCCTCCGCCCACGCCTCCTCGTGCCCCCCAGCCCCCCGTCCCCACAAGAGGTGCCGGCCCGGCCGCCCCCGCTCCAGGTTCCCCCTCACCGCGAGGCGGTCCCGCCGCCATTGCCCGGGGCGGCGGTTACCCGGCAACGCCGGCACGCGCGGCCCCGCCCAGCCCACGCATGATGGACGGCGCCGCCGACCAATCAGCAGAGGGTACTTGCGCGCGCACCAGGCGTTGGCTCCGCCTCCCCGGCTGAGGGGAGCTGAGGGGTCCCCGAGCTGTGGGAGGTTCCCTGGTCGGGAATGCCCGGGGGAAATGGGAAACTGCTCGTGTGGGGCACGGGCCGTGGGCACCTGAGATACGGGCTCCTAGTGCGGAGGAAAATGAAACCAAAGTGTTTTCATGAAGATTGCCACAGAGAAACACAGAGAAATTGCTGGCCCACATCGAGTCCTTTTCTGACATAACGGCACAGATCACATTTTCGGATAGTTTATCACCATATAGTCGTCCACGGGCTGAACCGTCAAAGGAGATATGTTAATTTCCATATTCCGAATGCTACTGCTGACCTGTGAAATAGTAAAAGTGCCTTAAAAATACAGCCTAGCTCAGGAACAAAGAACAGAAATGGAGAAATAAGGGCCAAACGAGGCTGTCCTTCAGCACTAGAAGGTTTTGGGTTTCAGGGCACGCTGAAGGAGGCTGCTGTCTTTTCCATGTTTGGGCCTTTCACATCAGGGTACCTCAGGGAGCTCAGGTGTGGTCAATAAAGAAGCTGCTGAGCCACTGTGGAAGGATGAGGTGTTTACCAAAAATTCTGCCATCACACTTGCCTGTGATGATGTGTTTGAGTCTAAGGTCATCAGGTCCTTGGGTAGAGAGGTCATCTGAATGAGAGAGCCACAGAAAACACGGGCCTGACTGGTTTTTAGCAGACATTAATGCAGAAATCCTCCTCTCAAGCCAGCCTTGGCAGATGGAAATGCTCTCAGGTAACTGCAGCAGCTGTCCAACCTCTGACATTCAGAATTAGGTTCTCTGCCCCTCGGTCATGCCCGTTGTACAGACACAAGGCTTCTTCCCTGCACACTGCAAATTTAATCAACAAACAAGACTTTTCACGTTGGAGTTTTGACCCTTTTGGGAGCAGAGGAAACATTGCTGGCAGTAAGAATAACCCTCTTGTCCACAGCTCATGCGAGGGAGCTGCAGCTGCGCGGCTGCAAGCGAGCAACACAGGAGAGCTCTGTTGGGGGAGGGAAAGGGGAAAAAAAGGCCTCTGTGTCAGGAACAGTGAGGCTCTGATCTGTGTGATTTCACCCCTGCATTCTTTAGGAAACAGCGATCACACAACTGCATAAATTCCATTAGAGGACCAATTCTAGAAAGCAGGATAAATGTTGAGCTCTAACTGTAAATACAGGAGGTCCAGCCTGCAACAATTAATTAGTTAAATACCTACCTATTTATTTATGAAGCTATTAGAAGAAGGAAAGAGATAGATATTATCTTGGTCTCTCAGATACCTGACACGCTTTCCCTGCCCCACTCCAAGGCTGGGAAGGGGCAAATTAATACAGTATGCAATTGATGATTTTTTTTCTGTTAACCCAAAACTCTTTGCAATGAGAGCAGCAAAGAGAGAACTTTCCCTGTTGCCTCTTGGCAATCCTGCTGGATTAAACTGTTCCTGAAGATAAAACACAGGTCTATTCAGACAGAAGGTCTTGAAGATAACATTTTAAGACAAAATTATACTTGCCTTGTTGTCTCAGTCCACTTTAACGTAGGTGCTTCATTTCTCATTGGAAAGAAAGAAGGAAGACTGAGAAGGGTTGAGTCCCATTGCTATAGAAATTTAAAAGGGATTTTTGTCCAGTTTAATAACCAGCTCATTTCCATGTGAATGAAGATGATCCTTTAGAATAGTGTTTGATATTTTCATGGTTGTTTGCCAGTTTTGGGGTTTCATCAATCCCATGTTTGCTTTTGTCTCCAACTCCCAGTGGTTCAAGGACAGGGAGAGGAGTAAAAGTAATCAAGCAGCAGTGGCTGGGCCCAATGAGTGTGTTTGTTTCTGCAAATGCTGACACATGGAAGCTGTTCGCAAGGGAGCTCTTGAATTCTCTGAATCCTGATACCAGGATTAGCAAGGCACAGCAATACTCAGCTGACAGTGATCAGAGCTGTGTCAAGGGAACAGCACAGAGTGTCTTTTTGCTTAAGAGAGATTTTGGAGTGGGTATTTGGGGTTATAGACCTCTCTCATTCAGGCACACACAGCTCCAAATTTTCAGCCTGGCTACCACAGCACACAAGATGCTGCACCTCAGTAAATATGATTTTGGAAAAGGGTCTGCAAACCCCACTAATGCCATTGCATTTTTAAAGACTTGTCTCTAGTATATATATTTATATATATATATATATTTATTTATTTATTTATTGTCACTAGCTAGTATCCCTCTGTATAGAGTGAAAAGTCACCTCCAGAATATGGAATAGTTTTTCTGTACCCCCTTTATCTTTAAAAGGTTCTCATGTCCAGGTAAGACATATGCTAACAGGTGCCCAAATTACTACTGTTATTAATGGGAAAAAAAAGGATGAATGGACAATATTAGTAAAAAATTCTTTTAAAGGTAATGTGGAATATACAGCAGCAATTGAGGTAATTTTTGAGAAACAATGTGCAATTTCCACTTTAAAAGGATGTTGAAACATCATGCTCCACCCAAGTAAAGTCAATACATGAAGTTGTGGAAGACAGCTTGCAGTAACAGACCAATCAATCTGTTTTCTTTAAGAATTAAAAAGTACTTACATGAGAAAGACATTAGTTTATATGTGAATAAGTAGTTGAACTTTCACAAACAAAGCAGTAGTTTCCAGTGCTGGAAGATAAAAGTAGACAAATCCAAACTAGACATTAGGTATGCATTTCAGGAATGCATGTAATCAACAGCTAAACCAATTTTCTTGGGGCTTCAACAAAATCAGTGTCAAACTGTGTCCTCACAACTGACAATAATTCTGTGTCTCAGAGAACAGTGGCTTGACAAATCTCACACAGGGATTTATAATACGGTTTCTTTTGTACACCAAGTGATATTGTGGTCAAAATGGCTTTCAGCTTTTATCACTCTATAGTAAAAAGTGTGAAAAGTGTGATGTGATTTTAGTGTGTTGACTGTACTGTGTTGTTCTGTCTTTGGACAAACAGGGAGAGCAGACTGAAGAAGTGCACTTGACCTAAGTGAATTGTGCAGCACATGAGCTTAGATGTACAGAAGGTCCTGTGTTATCCAAAAAAGGTAATGACCAAGGTCACTGCAGTGCAAGAACATAAAAGAGTTTTGATTGAAGAAGAATGTTTGGGATACTTGATAGAATTGTTCTTGGTTGATAGAGTCTGTGGTTAAAATGTTGCAATGTAACATGACGCCAAAATTATTGATACAAGCTTACACACAGTATATTGTAGCTAGCAAGAATATATTGAATGTATCAACCAACGTGGCTGTGAAATGCTAAAAAATTGTCAGAAATATTCCATTCTATTAAACAACTGGTTCTTCAGAGCTTTCCCACAAGTGATATTTCTACATCCTCTGTTGCCCTGCTCAAAGCTGCAATGAAATAAAGTAATAGTTTTCATTTTCAAAATAAAAAAAGATAACCCAATCTCTTGGAATCTGTTTGAATAAAACCTATTTGATATCTAATCTGACTTAAATGGATCAGAAATTAAAGTACCAAAGATAAGGCAAATAGTTTCTATTTAATCACAGTCTAATTTGCCTGTCAACGTGAAGTCTACTACAAATCAAGACAGCAAGTAGCCTGAAGCACCAATTTATTTTCTGTCAGCGAAGGAAGGCTTATCTCCACAAACTTGCTGCCAGTTTTTTGTCTCTACAAAATAAAAAATGCACTCCTCACTCACAGGAGAAACAGAAGTATCTGGAGGTGGATGCATGGAATATGTTCAAAAAAACCTTACTCTGTTTCAGTGTCTCAGAAAACAAGTCCTAGGTCAAAAGCCATTTGATGGGATCTCGCAGAGATGAGAGCAGAAACACTAACATACATCTTGTGTTCTTTAACCAAGAAACAGTCTGTTCAGTTCAGCCAGCATTTCCTTGCTCTGATGGGTGTCTATGCAAACACAGAGCTGATTTGATGTATTTCAGTCGGTTCTAGTAACAATAGACAATATTTATTTTTGATTGTTTGCTTTTGCCACCTCTCCAGCACCTTCCTGTGTAGCTTTGAAAGAGCTTCCAAACTCCCTCTATGCTGCATCCCAGAAAAGAACAAAACAAAGAAAATGTACCAAGTTAGCTCTTCCACGCAGCTACAGCAGGGACACCAAAAAACTGCCCAAAAGGCTGAACTTGTCACAAAGCTTAGTTTAATTTGACAATCATCATAAGGCATCCATGTAAATGAAAAATTCCCACCAGGGTCACAAACATTCTCCCACTAAATAAAATATGTTAGAGCAGAGGCCCGTGATTCCAAAAATCGCTAGTGGTTCCTGGTCTCGACCAGGCTGCCGCTGCTGGCAGTGGGGCCCAGGAGACGCAGCACCAACAGCAGCAGCTCCGGAAGTGTAAAGTCAGCTTGTACAAATCTCTTTCAATAGAACAACAAATGAAAAGGAAAGAGATTTGTGTAGAAAACATCATTCTCCATCCTTTCTGGGAAAACAAAACAGAATTTAAAAGATAATCCCATTCAAGGAGCAAAGAGCAGAGCTTGAAGTTCTGAAGCCCAAAATTGCTGATGGCCCATTTTTAAAACTAATGAAGCACTACAGAGGCCTGAGTTTATTATTGCTTTATCCCAGTTCAGCCCAGGCTAAGGCTATGGTGAAATCCAAATTAATTTAAAGCCAGAAAATGTAGATCCAGTAACAGCACCTAAGTCCTCATCCACACATGGGTGTAAACAGATACTTTTGGTGAAGAAAACAAAGCCCTCCCAAATTTCCTCCTCTTCCTGTCTATGCAGATCCCCATAGCAGGACTAAAATTTGCCCTGGAGTATAAAACAATTTCTCTCTCACATCTCTGTTAGCTGAGTCTTTTCCAAATGTTTTGCCTTTTGTTCATACTATCCTGGAGATGCATCAGCTCAGAGATGCCTTGTGGAAGCTC